CAATGAGATTGATATTCTGTTTTTCATAATCTGCAAAAGTTAATTTTAAGAGAACTCCTTGAATCTCATGTTAAAGACATTGTATCTTCTTCTTCATTATTGCTGATTTCACTGTCGCCTGGTGCTAAAAGACCATCCAGTTCTTCGTTCAAAATTTTCCGATTAAAACAATGGCACATCCTTTTCCAGTACATTAGCGGTTTGATAGCCAAGTGGTAGGCGCTCAGGCATTTGGTACGACGGCTTCAGGTTCGAATCCTGGAATGGCCATGATAAATTCGCAAAAAAAAAGATCATCGTTCTATTAAACTGCAGAAGAGTACGAAATCCCGAATACCATGCATTTGGAAAGGGTAGGTTTGAAGTAGTAACGTTTGTTGTTGTTGTTTCTTATCCCACTTGGCTGGCCAAGCCCACGAGCCCATACGTACTCATGATTGAAGGAAGGAAGCAGCTTCTGTTGTGAGGGAGCACCCATAGGTAGAAGTCTGACTTTGGCTCCGTGACGCTCTTACAGTCATAGGAGACCGGGTCCTACGGTTAAAAGTGGATTCCGAAGCACTACAAACATCCATGACACCTCCGGGATTCGAACCCGAAACCTGTGGCACCGAGTGCCAGAGCGCTAGACACTCGGCCATTCAGGTCCCAAATTTGTGAATGCCAACAGCAAGCGGTGTTCCCAGGTGGTCACCCACCCAAGTACTGACCGCGCCTGATGCTTGACTTCGGTGATCTAACGAGAACCGGTATATTCAGCATGGTATGGCCGTTGGCAGTAGTAATGTAAATGTTATATAGTAGGCATTCCGCTATATATATTCGGTTACGCTGACATATCTGTCATCGTAATGGTAAATGGTCTACAGTTAAAATGTACAGTAATGAAAAAACCCCTTCATATATGCAAATGCTTGATCAAAATTTTTATTTAATTCATAATATTATGTTTTAAATATACAGAAATTATTACTAATTATTATTCTAATACATGACATTGTTTTATAGTAAAGAAATAAATGATTTTCTATAATCAGTAGGCCATGCGCCATACCTAATCACATGTCTGTGATTGTAATGATATATGATCTAAAGTTTAAATGCCCAGTAATTGAAAAAAAAAAATAAATGAATAGTTTAAAAAAAACACGCTTTTAGAGTGAATGAAACAAAAAGTAAAAATAATTGTTAACATAAGAATAAAATGACTGACGAGAAAAGGAATGTCACTGTTCTGAAAGCGGTGCTCGATATCAATCGTTATCATTTTTCACTGGTTTAATTCCGAAATGCAGAGTTAGTTTAAAAATGTCATACAAAGCATCCCACGCTTTTAGAACAGTGACATTCATTTTCTCGTCAGTCATTTTATTCTTATGTTAACAATTATTTTTTACTTTTGTTTCATTCACTTAAAAGCGTGTTTTTTAGTTTTTTTAAACTATTCATTTATTTTTTACTTTTTAGTTTGATTAACTCAAAAAGCATGTTTTTTAGTGTTTTTAAACTATAATATTTAAATGAGGCCCCGGTATGGAGGAGTGGAACTATAGTTCTTACAATAATGTAATTATGAGTAAAACAAAGGCTATCACTTAAAGTAGAGCAAAATCGAGCCCAAAGAGACAATTACAAACATACAAACAAACATACAGGTGAAACTAATATAAAAGCGTATTAAAAGAATCAACTGTTTTCTTTCTGAAAGATGCCTGTAAATGTTTCTTTGCAGCTTAAATAGTGTATCTGAGGAGAAACAGATCTCCAGGGGAAAAAGTCAACATACATACAAACATACAGGTGAAACTTATAAAAGCGTATTAAAAAAACGTTTATGTGTAATGAGTATTTAAAACACGTGATCGAAATTTTTATTTACTTGATAGTAATATGCTTTAAATATACTGAAATCGTTATTATTAATTAATATGTTTGTATACGAGTATTTCATTGTTTTATAGTAAAGAAATGAATCATTTTCTCTCATCAACAAACTTTGCTTCTGCCAACTCATTTAATAAGGAAATAAGTTTGTAGCAAATACTTTACTAATGAAATGAAACGAAAGCAAATCATCTTTAATTTATGACCAAGAACTCTTTTTAATATTTTGACAGAAAGAAATACTTCTTTTTTTTTCCTTCTTTTCTTTCTTTCTTTTTTTTTAACAATCGAAAAAGAAAATTAGCCAAATGTAGGTTTTGTTGAAAGTATCGAAAACTGCAATCTGTGTTTGAGTTTGGTAATTACCGCCAAATTCGTGGGAAAAAAGGGACGTAAAAACAGTAATTACAGCTTTTTTAATAAGACAGTTGTTTCCGAACTAAGTTTTTTCCAAGTAAGTTTAAATGTCAAAAATTCTGATCAAATCAATTTTTAATGATTTTTTTTTGTTCTGAAAATGAAGTAATTGAAATCCATTTTCTGTCTTTTTACGAAGGAAGACGAGCAAAGTTCGAAAGGATAACTAAATTCTTCTTCCGAAACTAGTTTGAGTTTTTCACCCACAAAAAATGAAAGAAAAAAAAAAAAAAAAAAAAGAAAAAAAAAAAAGAAAGAAAACAGCACTGCTTTTCTAAAAACTACTTATCTTTTAAACTACTTTTATAATTGCTTGAATAAATATTTTTGTCAAAATTAACAATTTCAGAAACTTTAAAAGTGTTTTCTTTTGTTAAATGATGCTTATGATTTATGCTTTTAAATCTATCTGTATATACAAAACAGCACAATAATCAATCATTGAAGAACTGTTATCCATGTGGAAGTATATTAAAATCAGATATAAATTTTTAGGATTAAATGGATGGTATAAAAATAAAAATCCTGAATTAGATAAAATCAAAAATTGCAAGTAATCAAAAATTGTATTCTAATACGTAGTTTATCGTTAAAATAAACTACAATTTATTTTGTATTTGAATAAAACTACCACTTGTATTTTTTTATTTGATGCGTAATTAAAATACATGGAAAAATTGTTATTTATTATAGTTTTATCCGAAAAATTTGAACATACAATATTAAGACTTCGTTTTTGAATTTTTACTTTATTTGCTTTCCCCAGAATTTCTTTAACATTTAGAAAAAGTTAATAAAAATAATATAAAAAAATAAATTAGCAAGATCCAAGATAATTATTCTTTGAATTCGATTATTTTTCTCAATTTATTATATTCTTATCCATTACATAATAAAAAAAACACACAAAAGTAAAAGGTTTAATTATTTTTTATTAAATAAGACTAGAATTATTAGTAGAAATTAATTATAAAATAAAATAAAAGCTTCTTAAAATTAAACACAAAAAAAAATTCGTCTGTTTTATTTATGTTAATATTAAATAATTTTTATTTATCTGAGCGAATAAGATTAATAATAATAATAATTTTTTTTTAATTTTTTTTCTTAAAATGGTAAAAACAAGTGTGCTGAAAAAGGTCGTAGGCCGACACATAGATGGCGCTACTAGTATTAAATCCATATGATTTTTAGTTAACAAAGACAAGCCTTCAAAAGACACTAGTATAAATTTGACAGCTGTTGCACTATTAGTATGTGAATTATAGCATTTTTAGTGAAGCAACTTTTGTTAGTTTGAAAAAATGGATAAAAAGGAATTTCGTGTGTTAATAAAGCATTGCTTTTTTGGCGAAAAAAAACTATTGAAGCCAAGGCTTGGCTTGATAAACATTATTCGGACTTTGCACCAGGAAAATCAACCGTAGAGAAATGGTTTGCTAAATTTAAACGAGGCGAAATGAGCGCCGAGGACGATGCACGCAGTGGACGCCCCAAAGAGGCTGTTACCGACGAAAACATCAAAAAAAAAAGTCCACAAAATAATTTCTGATAACCGTAAAGTGAAGTTGATTGAGATTGCTGAGACCCTAAAGATATCAAAGGAACGTGTTGGACATATCGTGAATGAATATTTGGATATAGGAATGCTCTGTTCAAAGTGGATGCCGCGCGAGCTCAAAATCGACCCAAAAATAACAACGAATTGATGATTCTAAGCAGTGCTTGGAGCTGTTCAATTGTAAGAAACCCAAATTTTTCTTCGATATGTGACAATGGATAAAACATGGCTCCATCATTTCACACCGGAGTCCAATCGACAGTCATCCGAGTGGAGTGTACATGATGAACCGACTCCAAAGCGTGGAAAGATGCAAAAGTCGGCTGGCAAGGTTATGACATCAATATTTTGGGATACGCATGGTATAATATTGATTGACTATCTTAAAAGGGAATAACCATAAACAGCGACTATTACGTAGCGTTATTGGAGCGTTTGAAAGACAAAATCGCGGAAAAATGACCTCATTTGAAGAAGAAGAAAGTGCTGTTTCATCAAGATAATGCACCGTGTCACAAATCAAAGAAAACGATGTCAAAATTGCATGAATTGGGCTTCGAATTTCTTCCGCATCCACCGTATTCTCCAGATCTGGCCCCCAGCGACTTTTTCCTGTTCTCAGACCTTAAGAGGATGCTCGCTGTACAGAAATTTCGCGCCGATGAAGAGGTAATCTCGAAACTGAAGTCTATTTTGAGGCTAAAGACAAATCGTACTATAAAAAGGATATCGAAAAATTGTATGACCGCTACAATCGTTGTATCGCCCTCGAAGGCAACTATATCGAATAATAAAATCAAATTCTATAAAAAAAAAAAGAATTTTTCTATGACCGCCTACGAACCTTTCAGCCCACCTTGTACATGCATGCATACTTAAAATTTTAGAACTATATTTTTTTTTAGGGTTTTTGTTTGTTTCAGATATCCCTCTGTTATAGAGATTAAAAATTTATATTTTGTAGTTTTTAATTCTTTTTATTTTTATATTCACACTCTTTTTATTTTTAATAAAATGTAATAAAAAATTAATTATTTTAATTAATATAAAAATAAGCTAAATATTTGTGTTCTTCTAGTTTGTCTCTTTATACAACTGTAATTAATTAAAAAAAAAAAACAAGACCGGGACTTACTGTTTAAAGTGGATTCCAAACCACTACAAATATCCATGGCACTCAAGTTCTCGAACCCTAAAAACCCTATGAACCCGTATCCTAACCCTCCAGAGACTTATAATATAATATTATGCTAAATTTTAAATATAGAGGTTTAGTAGTTCCTTTTGTAAAATGTATAATAAAATTGTTGCCTGGTATATAGAATTGTTTTGCATGTTCTAATTAAAATTCTTATGTGTTTTAAATATTTACCATTTTTGTGCAAACTTATCTATCTTAAACGCAATACACAACAGAACTCTAGAACCCATCAAAGTTTTACTGTATTATTTCCGCTTTCAAATCTTTACATAGTACATAAGTTATCTCTCGAAATGAATAAAAACCTTGAACCATTAGGTATAAGTCACCAACTCTGTTTTCTGATGTTAAAAACATAATTTATATTTTCAAATCAATGGGAATCAGGCACTGACAACCTTTTTCCATGGATTGTGACTTTGATAATTATATTTTAAATCCATGGACACGATAACGACAACAACAACAACAAATCAATGTGAAAACCTATTATAAATTTTCCAAAAACAAATTGCAAAATAAAATTAATGAAATCTCTAGGTTCTCTCGCCAGAACTGAAATATATTAATATTTTTAACACACATTTAATTCAATAAAATAATTTTGTCAACAAAAACTATAAATAATAAAAAACAATTATTCAAAAAAGATCTATGAAATTTTTAACTTTAACAGTATTTTGTTTTCATAAAATTAATTGTACTGCATAG